GAAGTTGAATAAAAATCTGAATGGATGTTGCATAAAATTAAAAATGGAAGTTCATTCAAGAAACCACTACACCTTAACGACCTATTTGGAAATTATATAAAAAAGGAAATTGAATGGAGGTAAAAATTGAATAAAAATAGAAGTTGAATAAAAATGAAAATGGAAACTGCATAAAATTAAACATGGAAGTTCATTCAAGAAACCACTATACCTTAACGATCTATTTGGAAATTAAATAAAAAAAGAAATTGAATCGAGATGAAAATTGAATAAAAATAGAAGTTCAATAAAAATGGAAATGGAAACTGCATAAAATTGAAAATGGAAGTTCATTAAAGAAACCACTATACCTTAGCGATCTATTTGGAAATTAATTAAAAAAGGAAATTGAATAGAAATTGAAATTGAATAAAGATGGAAGTGGAATAAAAATGAAAATGGAAGTTGCATAAAATTAAAAATGGAAGTTCATTTAAGAAACCACTACACCTTAACGATCTATTTGGAAATTAAATGAAAACGGAAATTGAATGGAGATCAAAGTTGAATAAAAATAGAAGTTGAATAAAAATAGAAATGGAAACTGCATAAAATTAAACATGGAAGTCGATTCAAGAAACCACTATACCTTAACGATCTATTTGGAAATTAAATAAAAAAGGAAATTCAATAAAAAAGGTAATTGAATAAAAATGGAAGTTGAATATAAATAAAAATGAAAGTTGCATAAAATTAAAAATGAAAGTTCATTCAAGAAACTACTATGCCTTAACGACTTATTTGGAAATTAAATAAAAAAGGAAATTGAATGGAGATGAAAATTGAATAAAAATAGAAGTTGAATAAAAATAGAAATGGAAACTGCAAAAAACTAAACATGGAAGTTCATTCATGAAACCACTATACCTTAACGACCTATTTGGAAATTAAATAAAAAAAGAAGTTGAATAGAAAATTAAATTGAATAAAAATGGAAGTTGAATAAAAATACGAATGGAAGTTGCATAAAATTAAAAACGGAAGTTCATTCAAGAAACCATTAAATCTTAACGACCTATTTCTAAATTATATAAAAAAGGAAATTGAATGGAGGTGAAAATTGAATAAAAATAGAAGTTGAATAAAAATAGAAATGGAAACTGCATAAAATTAAACATGGAAGTTCATTCAAGAAACCACTATACCTTAACGATCTATTTGGAAATTAAATAAAAAATGGAAACTGCAAAAAACTAAACATGGAAGTTCATTCATGAAACCACTATACCTTAACGACTTATTTGGAAATTAAATAAAAAAGGAAGTTGAATAGAAAATTAAATTGAATAAAAATGGAAGTTGAATAAAAATAAAAATGGAAGTTGCATAAAATTGAAAATGGGAGTTCATTCAAGAAACCATTACGCCTTAACGATCTATTTGGAAACTAAATAAAAAGGAAAATCCAATAGAAAAGAAATTGAATAAAAATGGAAATTGAATAAAAATAAAAATGGAAGTTGCATAAAATTAAAAATGAAAGTTCATTGAAGGAACAACTATACCTTAACGATCTATTTGGAAATTAAATAAAAAAGGGAAATTGAATGGAGATGGAAATTGATTAAAAATAGAAGTTGAATAAAAATAGAAGTGGAAACTGTAACGCCCCCAAAATAAATACATAAATCCATCACTTTAGACATACATTATACAAAAGAGATTAACCATTTCTATACATCAGAGTAGTTCTTACAACAGTATTGCATGTTAACAACAAAAGGAAATGCGCTATAGGTTTACAGCTTTCCAAGTCAACACTAGGTTACACAAAAGAAGAGTACTAACTCTATAAAAAAATAAGCCCTTGGCTTGCTATACATGTAATACAAATAAAACAACCAAAAAAAGTCTTCAACTCTCATCATTATCCAAGCTATGTCCTTGGAGGTGGCATGCTACCTGTACCTGAAAATAATGTCCCATATAGGGTGAGCCAACACCCAGTAGAGATATGCTAAACACAATATGAGCAATAACTAAGACATTAGCAATTGATAAATGTTCAATTTCCATAAATCAATTCATAACCCATTTCCATTTTATGATCGCTGCGACTATGTTTCATTCCACTTTCCATTGCTTAACAGTTTCACAATTTATATCAATGGCTCAGAACCTGGCCAACCATTTCTATGAGACAGTAACTCATATTAAACATTTCCCATTTCTCAATAGATAAACATATTAGTTGTAACAACATCTCAACAGATAAGCATACAAGCTGTATCAACACTTCCAAAGATAAGCATATGAGCTGTATCATCACATAAATCTGACAAGCATATGAGCTGTATCAGTGGAGTCCATCCCCTATCTCCTCCCAAACAAAAATACATAAATAATGTGTTAAAGTATCTAACGGTTCGATCTCTAGGAATCAAGCTTGAAGATCTACTTCTCTCCCAAGAACTCCTTCTCCCTCTTCTAGAGCTTCTCTCTCTACAAGGCAAGTTTATGATACCAAATGATAGTTTTCTATACCCGGTTCTGGGGTTAACCCTCTGCTGAGACACGTGGCGGCGATTGGTTGGGTTCATTCTGAAAAGGTGGCTGACAGGCCAGACAAAGCATGGTGGAAGGGTGTTCAACAAGCAAAGCGGTATGGCTCTCTGACAGGCTTTGACATCGGCTAACAACAAGGCATATCTAACAAGTCTGCACGGAATGACACTCCGGCAAGGGGTGACAATGACCTCGGCTAGGAAGGACAACACTTGACTAAGCTGTGCCACATCTTGGCCTAGATGCGCCACACCTCGGCCTAGGTCATACCGCTCCAGGACGAGATCACTGGGGTGCAGGGTAACATCTCGGCTAACGTGGTCGAGGCAAGGGCGGAGATCAACAAGGGGTTCCAAGGTACTACTACTAGACTAAGGGTGACCTCGGCTTGGAATAACATCGGCTAGAGGCAAGGCGTGACCTAAGTTTTTACATCAAGGAAGGAACAAGACAAGTACACTACACTTAGACGAATCACAAGGCTTCAAATCAAGGCACGGATCTCACTCGCTAAAGCAAAACAAGTCACAACGTACACATGCAAGCTTAACAAGTCATAATCATACAAATGCTCATGAACATGATTAAGATGAAAAAAAATGTGGGTTCTTACAGTAGCCCAGAACTCTGTGAGTAACAATTGTGTAAAGATATGTTCAACTGATTATCTTCTGAATACTGAACTGAACTGTTTACTGAACTGGTATTATTTACTGAATGAATGTATGTCCTTTATTTCTGAACTGTACTGTGGCATCCTTAGTACCTACTGTTTACTGTTACTGTTACTGCGACAGAATTCTCTGTCGGTTCCCTCGTGGAACCACTACTGTTTACTGACTGATGCACAACTCCGGAATAATCTATTACATGCAGTGGGTCTCGGATATATTTCCTCAACATCGAAACATGGAACACACTGTGGACTCGACTCAAGTCTGGTGGCAAAGCAAGTCTGTAAGCAACGGTGTTAATCCTCTCAAGAATTTCAAATGGCCCAATATATCGGGGTGCAAGTTTGCCCTTCTTCCCAAATCTCGAAACTCCCGTCATCGGCGAAACTTTCAAAAACACATGATCCCCAATTTCAAATTCTAACTCCCTCCTTCTTTGGTCGGCATAACTCTTCTGTCGACTCTGCGCGGTTTTAATCCTTTGCTGAATGAGTTTGATCTTTTCAGTTGTCATCTGGACCAACTCGGGGCCAATTAGAGCTTTGTCCCCTACTTCAGTCCAACATAACGGCGATCTGCACTCTCTTCCATACAGAGCTTCATACGGCGCCATGCCTATGCTGGCTTGATAGCTGTTGTTGTACGCGAACTCTACTAATGGCAAATGCGATTCCCAACTCCCCTGAAAATCCAACACGCACAACCGAAGCATGTCTTCGAGTGTCTGAATCATTCTTTCTGTCTGCCCGTCGGTCTGGGGGTGAAAGGCTGTGCTAAATCTCAACTCTGTTCCCAAGGCTCCTTGTAGACTCTGCCAAAACCTAGAAACGAACTTCGGATCTCGGTCTGACACAATGGACATCGGCACACCATGAAGCCTAACGATCTCATTCATATACAATTCGGCAAGTCGGTTGGCATTGAATGTAGTCTTGACCGGCAAAAAGTGAGCTGACTTAGTAAACATGTCGACTATAGCCCAAATGGAATCCATACCTCTTTGCGTCCTCGGCAAACCCACTACGAAATCCATGGAGATGTGCTCCCATTTCCACTCAGGAATTGACAAGGGTTGAAGAAGCCCTGCCGGTCTCTGGTGTTCTGCCTTCACTCGCTGACAACACAGACACTGAGATACAAACTCGGCTATCTCTCTTTTCATATTTGGCCACCAAAAGGTCCGCTTTACGTCCTGATACATCTTGGTGCTCCCTGGGTGAACGGCAAACTTGGAGTTATGGGCTTCTTGCAAAATCTTTCTTTTCAACTCTGGCACGTCGGCCACGCACAACCTCCCTTCAAACTTAAGCACTTGGTTCTCAATGGTGTATCCTGGCCTCGGCTTGGTGACGAATTCATCAATTACTCTTTTAAGGAATTTGTCTTCCATCTGCCTAGTCTTCACTTCCTCAATAATGGTCGGTTCCGCTGAGATCATCGCCAGACACGCCAAACTTCCGACTAGCTTCCTGCTTAATGCGTCGGCTACGGAGTTTGCCTTACCTGGGTGATACTGAATCTGCATGTCATAGTCCTTCAACAGCTCGAGCCATCTTCTCTGCCTCATATTTAACTCTTTCTGGGTGAACAAGTACTTCAGGCTCTTGTGGTCGGTGAAAACTTGACAAGATGTTCCATACAAGTAATGGCGCCATATCTTCAAAGCAAAAACCACGGCAGCTAGCTCCAAATCATGGGTAGGATAATTCTTCTCATTGGGCTTCAACTGACGAGACGCATATGCTATGACCTTACCTTCTTGCATTAACACGCAACCCAAACCTTTGTGTGAAGCATCGCTATAAATCTGAAATTCCTCATTAGCTGATGGTAGTACCAAAACTGGTGCTGTAACCAATCTCGCCTTCAGTTCCTGGAAAGCTGATTCTCTTTCGTCGGTCCATTCATAAGCTGTTCCCTTCTTCGTTAGTTGTGTCAATGGCACTGCAATCCTCGAGAAATCCTTTACAAATTTTCTGTAATAACCTGCCAAACCCAGAAAACTACGAATCTCGGACACGTTGGTCGGCGTCGGCCAATTCACAATGGCTTCAATCTTACTGGGGTCAACTGATATACCGTCTTCATTAATCACATGCCCTAGAAACGAAATGCTGGAAAGCCAAAACTCGCATTTACTTAACTTGGCGTACAACTTCTTATCTCTCAAGGTCTGCAGGGCAAGTCTCAGATGATTCTCGTGCTCGCTCGCACTCCCAGAATAGATCAATATGTCGTCGATAAAAATAATGACAAACTCATCCAGATGGCCTTGTCCAGTACTCCGGCGTATGTCGGCATATTGAGCATATTGACCCGATCTTGTATCGGCCCACGCAACCCACTTTCGAACTTCCTCGCCTTTCGATACTCGTCATCAACCATATGAGGCACATATCTCGCCAGTTCAGTAAAGGCACGATCGTATTCTGCGACCGTCTTAGAGCAAAAACCACGGCAGCCAAGGGGTTCCAAGATGCTGCTACTAGACTAAGGGTGACCTCGGCTTGGAATAACATCGGCTAGAGGCAAGGCGTGACCTAAGTTTCACATCAACGAAGGAACAAGACAAGCATACTACACTTAGACAAATCACAAGGCTTCAAAACAAGGCATGGATCACATTAACTCAAGCGAAACAAATCACAACATACAAAACAAACAAGGAAAACATAAGCCGAGAAGCATAATCTTCAAGACGATGCAAAATGCAAATCCAAAACATGTCGGCTATGCGCCCAAAACACATCGGCAATCACGTCTAGGCCTCAATGCCTTCTTGTTCATCACCTACATATATATATAGAGAGGGTGAGCTTGGATACTCAGTGAATGATATTAGAAATAAAGGTTTTGCATGATTGATATCCAAGATTTCTTTCAAAACTATACATAGCATACTTTTCGATCAAGAGGGAAATCAGCTTGACTTGGGGTCTTCAATGTGACGTTCTTAGTAACACAATTAATGGATGCATGATTCGCCGCTAACCAGTCCATTCCCAATATAACATCGAAGTGAGTCATGTTTAATGGCATCAAATCAACTAACAATTCTACACTCTCAATCATAGCAATACACGCCCTATAAATGGATGTAACAATCATATTTCTCCCAGATGGGGTAGACACAGATAATACATAATCAAGGGGTTCTAATTCTCTATCCAACTTCTCGGCGAATATGGTGGACACAAATGAATGCGTAGAACCCGAATCAATCAATACGTATGCATCTTGAGAACAAATTGAAATGGTACCTGACACCACTGTTTCAGCATTCTGGGCGTCTCCTGGCACCAATGCGAAAACTCTGCCCTGCCTCGCCTGTACTCCCCCGATGTTATTCTTCTGTGCAGAGCCCGAGGTGCTTCCAGTCCTCTTCCCATCATCGGTCCTTGCTTTCGGGCAGTCCTTCACGCGATGGCCTATCTCGCCACACTCATAGCAAGCCCCTGTTGCCCAACGGCAAACCCCGAAATGTAGCTTTCCGCAACTCGCGCACATCGGCTTGGCGTTACCTCCCTGATTTGAGTTGCTGGAACTGTCCGTGCTCATTCTCTTCTTGGCATTGAACGGAACTCGGCGACTATCATAATTCTGTCTCTTCCTCTGACCCTCACTTGAGCTCTGGTATCGGTTTAAATTAGCTTCAGCCAGGATGGCCTTGTCCAGTACTCCGGCGTACGTCGGCATATTGAGCATATTGACCCGATCCTGTATCGGCCCACGCAACCCACTTTCGAACTTCCTCGCCTTTCGATACTCGTCATCAACCATATGAGGCGCATATCTCGCTAGTTCAATAAAGGCACGATCGTATTCTGCGACCGTCTTGTTCCCTTGGACCAGATTCTGAAACTCCGTGGTCTTTCGGTCTCGGACGCTGAGGGGGAAATGCTTGTTGTAGAACAACTCCAAAAATTTTGCCCAGGTCAAACCCGGATTGCTTTCTCGGACCATCATCCACCACCTACGAGCATCGTCGTCTAATGTGAATGCTGCCAGAGATACCTTCTGGGCGTCTGTACTGGGAAAAACTTCAAACAACTTCTCCATCTCTAAAACCCATGCCTCGGCTTTCATTGGTTCTAGGCCTCCCTGAAATCTCGGCGGTTTCATCTTCTTGAACTCTCTGATTAGAGTTATCGTGTCGTTCCCATACAAAGCTTGCTGCATAGGCACTTGTGGCACTGGAGGGGGTGGAGCTGCATATCGGCCATTCGTCTGTTCGGCATGCATAGAAGTGGTACCAGTATCCTGCGGCCTAGGTTGTCTCTGCTCACGAACCAAGCCTTCGACTAACCTTTCCAACCTCTCCAACCTGTCTTCTGAACGATCTCGGCCAACTGGGGGTCTACCTCTCCTCATGATGCTAGGGGGATACAAGATGAGACTTTAAAATAACTGAACAGATGATGCGTATACAAGTAACAAATGCCTATGCCGAAATGATGCACACGTAGTCAAGTAGCAAGCAATATGATGCAATCCTAACATTATTCTAAGGGAAATCCTACGCTCTCTAGGACTCAAGTGCGTGAACAACGTACACCGAGGAACTTGTGCTCTGATACCAATCTGTCACGCCCCCAAACCGCCCCTAGTAGTTTGGTGCCGTGATGGCCAGTAACCCGAGGTTACCGAAGGCCGACTTACAAAATCACACACAATCAGAGTATAAAATATGGGGCTTACAAGTGCGGAAGCAACATATATACATATACAAAATCTAAATAGTCCATGAGAGCCGTGCATAAGTCCAATGGAATGTCATACATCAAACATCTTTACAAGTCTTACAACTTAAATACAAGAATGAAATGGAATACGAAACACATCTTGACCAAAAGGCTTCTCAAGCCGACATATGCCAAAACAAACAAAAGAAAAGCCGAGAAGCATGATCTTCAAGATGGTGCAAAAATGCTAATCCAAAACATGTCGGCAAAGCACCCAAAACACATCGGCAATCACGTCTAGGCCTCAATGCCCTCTCGTTTGCTATGACGGTACAAAATACGTATTATCAGGAACCCGGATATAAAGTCAGCTAATTGGTACGGTCACCAATGGTCAATGTTTAATTCACCTGGCTAAAAAGGAAAAGCACAAGTTTCACAACACACTTATAAAAACTAATTGGCATTCTTTGAGAGAAGTTTAAATTGGGATTAGAAGGGTAGAATTATTGAGCTAAAAAACATACCTGACTGTCCCAAAACAAACTCCCCTCATAACTTCAAGGCCCTTCATCCGATTCTACTGTACTGCCAAGCGCGCGAAAAGGGTATAAAGACACTGCTATTGTCATAGAGAACTGAACCGAAAAGTACTAATGGCTGAGTCAAACAAAACACACCTTTTTAAGATAAGACAACCACCTGGTGGCAAAAAGTCACCTTTTGTTCCCGGCACATTGACACCTTAATTTTTCTGCCCAATGGCATTGAGGCCTAGACGTGATTGCCGATGTGTTTTGGGTGCTTTGCCGACATGTTTTGGATTTGCGTTTTGCATCGTCTTGAAGATTATGCTTCTCGGCTTATGTTTTCTTTGTTTTTGTCATATGTCGGCTTGAGAAGCCTTTTGGTCAGGATGTATTTGTGTTCCATTTGTTGTATCTAAAATTGTAAGACTTGTAAAGATGTTTGATGTATGGCATTCCATTGGACTTATGCACGGCTCTCATGGACAACTCGGATTTATATGTTATATTTTGCTTCCGCTCTTGTAAGCCCCATATTTCATACTCTGATTGTGTGTGATTTTTGTAAGACGGCCTTCGGTAACCTCGGGTTACTGGCCATCACGGCCAAACTACTAGGGCGGTTTGGGGCGTGACAGGATTGGTATCAGAGCACAAGATCCTTGTAGTACGTTAATCACACACCTTGAGTTCTAGAGAGCCTAGGATTTCCCTAGAAGAAAGTTTAAGATTGCATCATATTGCTTGCCTACTTGACTATGTGTGCCTCGTTTTGGCTAGACGCTCGTTACTTGCATATGTGTTATCTGTTTAGTTGTTTTTAAAGTCTCATCTTGCATCTCCCCCCCTAGCATCATGAGGGAGGTAGACCCCCGGTTGGCCGAGATCGATCGGAAGACAGGTTTAGAGAATTGGAAAGGTTAGTCGAAGGCTTGGTTCGTGAGCAGAGGCAATCTAGGCCGCAGGATACTGGTACACTTCTATGCATGCCGAACAGACGAATGGCCGATATGCAGCTCCACCCCTCCGGTGCCACAAGTGCCTCCGCAGCAAGCTTTGTATGGGAACGACCACCGATAACTCTAATCAGAGAGTTCAAGAAGATGAAACCGCCGAGATTTCAGGGAGGCATAGAACCAATGAAAGCCGAGGCATGGGTTTTATGAGATGGAGAAGTTGTTTGAAGTTTTCCCCAGTACAGACGCTCAGAAGGTATCTCTGGCAGCATTCACGTTAGACGACGATGCTCGTAGGTGGTGGATGATGGTCCGAGAAAGCAATCCGGGTTTGACTTGGGCAAAATTTTTGGATTTGTTCTACAACAAGCATTTCCCCTCAGCGTCCGAGACCGAAAGACCACGGAGTTCAGAATCTGGGTCCAAGGGAACAAGACGGTCGCCAGAATACGATCGTGCCTTTACTGAACTGGCGAGATATGCGCCTCATATGGTTTGATGACGAGTATCGAAAAGCGAGGAAGTTCGAAAGTGGGTTGCGTGGGCCGATACAAGATCGGGTCAATATGCTCAATATGCCGACGTACGCCGGAGTACTGGACAAGGCCATCCTGGCTGAAGCTAATTTAAACCGATACCAGAGTTCAAGTGAGGGTCAGAGGAAGAGACAGAATTATGATAGTCGCCGGGTTCCGTTCAATGCCAAGAAGAGAATGAGCACAGACAGTTCCAGCAACTCAAATCAGGAAGTAAGCCAAGCCGATGTGCGCGAGTTGTGGAAAGCAACATTTCGGGGTTTGTCGTGGGCAACGGGAGCTTGTTATGAGTGTGGCGAGATAGGCCATCGCGTGAAGGACTGCCCGAAAGCAAGGACCGCTGATGGGAAGAGGAATGGAAGCACCTCGGGCTCTACACAGAAGAATAACATCGGGGAATACAGGCGACGGCAGGGCAGAGTTTTTGCATTAGTACCAGGAGACGCCCAGAATGCCGAGGCAGTAGTGTCAGGTACCCTCTCAATTTGTTCTCAAGATGCATACGTACTGATTGATTCGGGTTCTACGCATTCATTTGTGTCCACTATATTCGCCGAGAAGTTGGATAGAGAATTAGAACCCCTTGATTATGTATTTCATCGTGTCTACCCCATCTGGGAGAAATATGATTGTTACATCCATTTATAGGCGTGTATTGCTATGATGAGAGTGTAGAATTGTTAGTTGATTTGATGCCATTAAACATGACTCACTTCGATGTTATATTGGGAATGGACTGGGTTAGCGGCGAATCATGCATCCATTAATTGTGTTACTAAGAACGTCACATTGAAGACCCCAAGTCAAGCCGAGGTCATTTTCCAGGGTAAAGGAGTTGTACCCCCACCTTACTTAATCTCATCCATGAAGGCCTACAAGTTGATCCAAAAAGGATGTAAGGGTACTTATGCAGTATACTAAGTGATCTGAATGGAATGTTTTGAGTTAGCGACATACCCGTTTGTGGAGAATTCTCCCGACGTCTTCCGAATGAGTTGCCTGGCCACCTTGTCGATAGAGAAATAGAGTTTACTGTGGACGTCTTGCCAGGAACAAACCTATCTCCAAAACACCCTACAGAATGGTCCAGCTGAACTTAGAGAACTGAAATCGCAATTACAAGAATTGTGGATAAGGGATTTCGTCAGGCCGAGCACTTCACCGTGGGGAGCACCCGTTTTATTTGTTAAGAAAAAGGACGGCACCCTTCGTCTTTGCATTGACTACAGAGAACTTAATAGGTGACCATTAAAACAAAATACCCATTGCCAAGAATCGATGATTTGCTTGATCAGCTACGAGGGCACGAGTCTTTTCCAAGATTGACTTAGGTCGGGCTACCACCAGTGAAGGTTAAAGCGAGGATATCGAGAAACTGCTTTTCGGCAAATATGGCCACTACGAATTGGTTGATGCCCTTCGGAGTAACCAATGCCCCAGCAGCATTTCATGGACTGATGAACAGAGTCTTTAAGCCGTACCTAGATGAATTTGTCATTATTTTTATCGAGACATATTGATCTATTTCTGGGAGTGCGAGGCGAGCACGAGAATCATCTGAGACTTGCCCTGCAGACCTTGAGAGATAAGAAGTGTACGCCAAGTTAAGTAAAATGCGAGTTTTGCTTTCCAGCATTTCGTTTCTAGGGCATGTGATTAATGAAGACGGATATATCAGTTGACCCCAGTAAGATTGAAGCCATTGTGTGAATGGCCGACGCCGACCAACGTGTCCGAGAGTTCGTAGTTTTCTGGGGTTTGGCAGGTTATTACAGAAAGTTTGTAAAGGATTTCTCGAGGATTGCAGTGCCATTGACACAAGCTAACGAAGAAAGGGAACAACTTATGAATGGACCGACGAAAGAGAATCAGCTTTCCAGGAGCTGAAGGCGAGGTTGGTTACAGCACCAGTTTTTGGTACTACCATCAGCTAATGAAGGAATTTCAGATTTACAGCGATGCTTCACACAAAGGTTTGGGTTGCGTTTTTATCAAAAAGTGTCAAAGTCATAGCGTACGCGTCTCGTCAATTGAAGCCCAATGAAAAGAATTATCCTACCCATGACCTGGAGTAGCTGCCGTGGTTTTGCCTGAAGATCTGGCGTCATTACCTGTACGGAACATCTTGCCAAGTTTTCACCGACCACAAGAGTCTGAAATACTTGTTCACCCAGAAAGAGTTAAATATGAGGCAGAGAAGATGGCTCGAGCTTATGAAGGATATATGACATGCAGATTCAGTACCACCCAAGGTAAGGCAAATTCCGTAGCCGACGCATTGAGCAGGAAGTTAGTTGGAAGTTTGGCGTGCCTGACACGGGTTCGGTGGAAACCAACTATTATTGAGGAAGTGAAGACTAGTCAGAGGTGAGATAATTCCTCAAGAAGGTAAC